TAATAGCCACGTTTGTGTGTAAATAAAAGACTGCGTTTCTGAATGGTTTTATTTTCAGCCTACCATGTGTACTTGATCACATAAAAGTATACACATTACAGGTATAATAATATAATTCAACATTTTTTACGATAAATTTCTAGAGGAAAAGGTATCAGGGAGTGGAAAGTTCGAATGTTTAACTACAATGTTATGAAATTGTTTATGAATATTTTCATTTGTGATTATCTTTTGAAGCTTGTTGCAAACAGCGCCTGAATTTGAGAATTGTGACCCTTTTAACCTCTTAGTCATTTGACCCCTTCTGAAAGAAATGATGCACATAGAGGAAATTTAACGGATTTTCCCAGATTTTGTGGCACAATGTGCCGCATGTAATGAAGTTATCTGTGAAAGGGCACCTCTATATGGTTCTTTGGTGACCTGAAATAATATAAACTGGCTGTGAAGCAGAGAAAATAACGTAGCATTCTGAAATATATACTAATTCATCGGTATAAGAATAAAATATATAAAATTTATATAACTCGAGAACAAGCATCCTACAAAAAAAGTATCAGACAAAAAATGAAGGGGAATTCCTCTGAAGGGGATTTCCAAAGGGTAATCTACCTGACCTAATATCAAACCTCGCCCTCGCTCCCTGGGGGTGGGGGCGGGGGAAACTTTGAAATTTTAACTGAGAACCCCCATTTTTATTGCATATTTGAATTCTACCTTACAAAATACAGCAGTTTTGTCTTAAAAATATTCTCAATTTCTCATTAACTCAATCAATGCCAATCAAGAAAGTAAAGAATAATAGTTTAAAAGAAGTAGATTTTTTTCAAGAATCAAAGGATTCAAAAAATGGAATTTTCCCATCTCTAATCTCAACTTTCAGAAAGTTGATTTTTTTCATCCTCAGCGGACGATGGTAATAGTTAACAAATTTCACATTCATTTTACAGTATAATGGATAATATTTCTTTGTTTACTCAGGACTGTTTATGTGCATGTAAATTTCGCAGGCCATTTTCAGATCAGTCAAGTGAACATAAAATATTTATTCTTATTAACTAATTTTTTATAATGCCAAATTTGTAATAGAAAATGCAGAATGAACCTCAACTCTACCGACAAACTTCGGGAGATGACTCGTATAAGGATGTGAGGAAAAAATACTTTACATGTATACACTCATAATGCTCTTCTTCTTTTTCTTCATCTTCCTCTCTCCTTTCCATTCTTTTTCTTTTCCTCTTGTTTCATAATTTTTTTTTCTTTAGAAATAAATAAAAGATTCCATTCTGACCTCGCTGATTGCGATTCCGGCCTAGAAGATTACTATTAATAATATATAGTAATAATTTAAGATAATTGATATCTTGTAATAATAAAGAAAAATGTCTTGCATCAAGTTTTGTAAACACACATCTTTTCCGCTTAGACGCAGCAAGATTAGCTCTGATGATGACCGCTACGCGAAGATCTTAAGAATTAAAAATATTGATACTAGACATCATCTTTTTCTGAAACTAGTTGTTAACGTTAATTATCGGAGGCGCAAAGTACAAAATAAATACCCCAAGGTATTTTTTTTTGTGTTCATTTTTCTTTGTCGCGTATACGATATTTCGTGTTCATTTCGCTTTATTAAAAAAATTAGCACTATAAATCAAGTATTTAATTTTTAATTTATTTTCAAATCGTAATTATCGCGAGAATATTATGAAATAAAATTAAATAACAATAAATGTTTATTATTTTTTATTTTGATATTTCTGCCGTAAATGAATTACTTTTCTCTTATGATAGTAGGTGAGTAACAGGTCCCAATATTTCATCCGCTGATCAAGTGATTCGCTTTAAGCGGTCGCTATGGTGAACATGCCTTTGCTTTGGCAGATGTTAATTTTAGTTTATTAATAATCTTCGCGTTTTTCCAATGCTTCAATATGGGGAAAATTTATTCATCGAAACGATCCCAAAAAACTATCTAAAGAAGTATTAAAACTTTACGTTGTCCGATTCTATAGAAATGTTTATTTTATTTCTAAAAATATTTGTTAACCGGTCTGTCAAGAAAACTCGTGTTGCCAAAATATCATTCACAATCACTTTATAACTTGCGAAATCTTTAAGCATCAACTAATGAACAGGGAGCTCAATTGAATTTTACAGCAAAGTTCAGGTGCATAAATTGTCATGACTAGTGAATGAAGAATGAGATGTTGCTCATTTTTTCATCTGATTGGTTTTACATTAGCTTTTTAAACCGACATATTCTACATGCAATTGAAACATTTAAAGGCAGTCAGTGTTTAAATGTTTTCACTTGCTACCGTTATGTTTTAAAGTGGTCATCATACATCACATGTATGATACAAATGATTTAAAATCGCAAATAATAAGTGGTAATTTTTGTGGGAACATAATGTTTTTAATTTTGCCTGAAACGAGACCATCAACATTTGCAACAATGTTTTTGCTTCCTCCAATCATGAATTACTAACAGCTTGAAGCCCATTGTTATCTATTACAGGAACATTATCAGTTGCTACAACACATTTTTTCACTTGCCAATTGCTAATAAAAAACGTTCACATCATACTTCGCGGAAGGCAACAATTGTTATGAAAGTAAATGAACTGGAATAAATGTTTGTACTTGTGCGTGCTAAATGAAGGTTAAATATATTTTCTTCCTTTTATGAGCCGGTAAAAGGGCCCTGGAATTGGGGAAACAAATGCCGAAAGGCTGTGTAGAAACGAGTCGTAACCTCTTGAAAACCTAAGCATGTGGTTCCTGCACTACATTGTACAAAGAACAGATATTTAATGTGATTTTTAAGAATTTGATGAAGCTGAATAAAATTAGATTTTCACTAGAAATTCACTACATTTTCCTTTTTTCTTCTATCGATAGAAACATGGAAATATAGTTTTTTATTGTAAGGAAAAAATCTACAAATTTGTTTATCGCAAAATACGCCAATTTTGTTTTATAAGTACTTCGTCACGGAAATCCGCAAAAATTGTTTTATCCAATTCCGAGTCCCAACAATTAAAATTGTCAATCAAATACAAAAAAAACACCACTTAATTTAGTTTTATTATATTTTGTCGTTAAAACAAAAAATCTGATCTTGAAGCACATCGTGATCCGCCGCATTCTGTTTTGTTCGTACATTGCAGTTTTAGATACGAGTATGTTGTCGGCAGAGTTCAGGTTCGTTCTCTATAAATCAACTATTAGATTGTGCGACAGGTGGTACCTTTCAACTTCTTTTTGCCAGAAATATTTTTTTAACCTCCAGACAATTTCAATATTTTATAGGAAATAATGATTGCAAATATAGCTCATCTATTTGTCCAAGCGCTTTAATGTAAGACTATTTGCGCTTCGGGCTGCATTTGTTTGTTGAAAAAATCTGCGATAGTCATGCCAGGTTGACTTCACTGATTTATAATATTGGCTTTGTGAGTTAGATGGGATTTTTTGACTCTTGACAATCATCTTGTCTTCAGACTCTATAATGGAACATACTTCTAGAAATAGATAAATTTCGAAATGCTTACAAATACAGTGCGCCAGGAAAGTCTCTCCGTACGGAGCCGAATATGGGCCTCATATTAAGAATTGCATTTGTGCTGGTAGTAACCAAATTACTGAGAAATAATTGAAGAGAACAATACTTCCAGCATCTGTTATGAATGACTGTGGCGAGTACACAATTGACATTGTCAAGCCGCTACCAACAATTTCTGTTGCAAGCACTCACCAGCCTGGTGCCACTGCGGAGGGACTTTCCTGGCACGATACACTTTCAGACTTAAACGTCAAATTAAGTTTTATGCAATTTTATGACCTTGTATGTAAAACATTGGCGTTTCCACTCTTCAAATGCCAAACATGTTTGTCCATAACTTCACTGGGGATGATCATTTAATAATTATCTTCTATTCACACCTGATTCTAATCTTAATATTGAAAGGCATGCGTCGTATTTGATCAAAATTAAGGGGGAACAGTAAGATCATGATAGTCTATGTTGTTACATATTACATAGAGAGTAGTACGTCCATCCATACACATATAAATTAGTAGTTGCAAGACAACGAATCTCTATAACGCAACTAATGCCGAACAAATTATGACCTATTGAAGAAGAGGCCACTGTTGTGCAAATACTTCGTGACACTGACTTGATCGGGAAGAAAAGAAGGGAGAATACACATTGAATTTGTTTTCATTTTACAGAACATGGCATGAAAAAGCAAAATAAACTCTCATTATTGAAATATTTGAAAAGTTCTCGGTTAAGTGCTCACGTATTTTTTGTCTTGATAATTAATTTCTCTTATTTAGTAACAAAATGGCGCTTGGAAATAATTTGTTGCTTTTCTTTTTCAGCGTTTAAATTCTTTAAAAATAATAGAGACTAGTTTAATTTTTTAAAACAATATTTCTTGAAATTTATAATTTTCTATAAAATGCAATTATTTGAAATTGTATCAAAGAAAACGTCAGCAATTGAGAAAAACCCAAACGATTTGACAATTTTGAAAATTGCAATAGTTCAAAATACATTTTTCTGAATATTTTGCATCACATTAACCAATTTAAATAACACAGTCTATTCTCTCTTCAGTGGTGGCAGGAAGATTGTGTTTAACCTTGACAAACATGCAATACATTTTAGTATCTATCTTTCTTTGGAAGAAAGGCTATCCATAACTGCATGGTTACCTAGTGCAATACATTTGTATTGTACAACACTGCCTTAAAATATGAATTCATTAACGCTACGTTAAATAAGAACGATCCTGAATAATAAAACAAAATATTTTAGCGTTAATGTATGTTTAGTAATATTTTATATTAACCAACGCAAATAGCAACCACATGATGGAACATAGAAGCGCTGATAATATGGCAACTTCGCTCTGCCATGCACTCTTTTGCTATTTCGGCAGCATATTGTATATTTTGACAAACAAGAGCAAATTGTACATATATTATGAAGGATTTGCTTTGGAGAAGCTCAAAGCGGTTCTTAGCTTCTTCCGAACTCTTGGTGACGTCCACTTGTTGGCTACTCCAAGGAGAGGTCGAATTTCATTAGGTGAAACTCCTTCATCAACATCGTCGGCCTCCGTCTTAATCTCCATTTTCTGAAACAGAGTAATATAAAACATCATCTGTACTATTTCTTTTGATAAACTAACATTTAATTACAATATTTGAGCCCGCAAAAATATTTGACAGAGTTGGGGCTTAGGTTTAGCAGGCGACGTGAGCTAATGTCTGAAATCAAACTGAAGGTAGTGATAGACATTGATGGCTTTTACAGCTAAATAAAAAAATTGAAGAAAACCATCGGATTCTCTTATCATTTGAAACACAAATAGCAGCTAGCCAAACGAAGAATGAGAGGCACAAAAATAAATACATATTTTCTAACATTGAATGTAGGCTATTGTGCTCTATTTTTACAGACCAATTAAAGAAAAATATTTTCCAAAGTTGAAATTTGATCTCAGGCTTAGCAAGAGGCGTTCAATGATGATACCGACTCAGAAGTAGTCCATTTACAATGAATTTTAAGACAATTTAATTCAAAATAATGCGAAAACTACTAATACCTAGTCTGTGGCGGCCGGTACGGAATTCTGTTGGTGATACCAATTAGTGATGCGACATCAATAACAAAACATCAATGTTATAAATTATCAATGTTAATAAAACATCCATCTAAAACCATTTATGTTTTTAAACATCGATGAAATATTTTAAAACTGTTTTAGAAATCTCTAAATTAAAATTCATTCAAAATTTAATTTAACAGTGTCAGTGTTTATTAATTTATAATGAAGATTAAACTGAAAAGAAACTAAAATAATAAAAACAAATAAAATACAGCCTGAAAACATGAGCGCCCACAGTAATTTCAAGAGGTCAGGAAGGAAGACAGTAAGAAAACTAAAACCGCTTGTGAGCAAGGTTTCGAACGGAAACTTTGTTTAAAAATGTATTTCTTCTCGGAAACTTCTTGAAGATCAGGAATCAGGAGAATCAGACTACTCCATCAATACAGGAGTCTCTATATTAGAATCACTAGAAGGGGTTGAAAGTCCCCGTGATGGTCAAACGCCTTGTTTGTTTTATAGTGAACTATATTCAGCCGACCACCGTGGAGAACTGTGGGTCCTGTGGGAATTGTATGAAATGTGGGCGCCCTATGACTGTGCTGGAACCGAAAAGGACATTTACATTTGTGATTTTTGTAAATGATTTTTTTATTTCCCAAGCGTTTGTAATAAAATACCATTTACATAAATAAATATATAAATAGTTTCTCTAAACCCGTGTATTAATTAATATTTTAAGGGGGCTCATAATACCAAGACATAGCTTTTTTTAACATATGACTTTTTTCTGAATTATTGATTTTTACCCACTTTCTGAGCAGCTAAGAATGTTCGTACATTTTATTTAGTTTAACCATATGTTAAAGTTGAAGTTATAATTGTTTTAAAAGCTAATTTAATATACTTTTTATATGTCGAAATAAAAGTGGGGACTCATATTACCACCTATATGGCAATAGTATTTATTCACTTTTTTTACTAGGACCCGGCAGTAAGAGTTTTTCTGCCGAAAATTTGAAGTTTTCCGGCGCACGATTACATAACTGTACCTTCTTACAAAGTGCCTTGGTAAGGGCGGAAAAGTAAAAATATCTTAAATAATAATGTGGTTGTAGGAGGGTGTGAAAACATTTTAAAACTTTCGTGATTTTCAAGAAATTATACATTTGACCGAAAATTGGTCCTGCGCCATTTCTATAAACGTATTTTGCTTATATATCTTTTGACAAATTTTGAGCATTTAAAAAAAAAATTCCAGAAACTTAATGTAAGGTAAGCAAAATATTTGAAAGATCAGTTTGAAATTCGAAGGGTCACAATATCACTCAAATTGAATGGGGAATATCGATTTAATGAAAATCCTGTGTCGATGTGGGCGCTAATGTTGTTCACAGACATACGAAACGACTGGCAGATGTTTTTAGAAAGATTTTTTTTGGTTGTCAAGGATCCACGATACGTGGATTCTGATCATACATACTACTTACGGTCTATATGAGAAAGTAATTTACTATTTCAAGAGCAAGAAAAATCCTATTTTCGGTTGCAAGTTCCCACAAAACTTGTTTTTCTTCTTAAAAAAATCGGCACATCGTCCTGCAGCACTACACAACTTTGTCTATACTACGTATTATACGAGAAAGTAAATTATGTGCAATCTTTCATCCTGTACATAATAATCCTATAACCTGCATTTGGAGGGGAAGTCACAATTTTTTTAGGAGCTGTCCCGGACATTCTACTAGAATTCTGGAGAAATTGTGTATTAGGAAGTTAACCTTTTTCGGGATTTTTAAGGTACATACAATGGTGATGAATAACTCTTTTGACTTCTCTCGACAAGAGAGATCGATTGACATTATTTTTTGCCGGTTCCTTATAAAATATTACTGAAGAATTCTAAAAAACTTTTGTGGACGTTTCCTGGCACTTACAGTAGTGAAACGCTGTGAATTACAATAAAGTCTTTCCAGGAAAATAAAAAGTTATTTGATTAATCAGTTTACGATACGTATATTTTATTTTGTTGTGAAAAAGAAATATTCTTTGTAAAAAAAATTATTGATAGTTTTTCATGTAACTGTGTGAGCTCGAGGATGAACAAGCGAGATCAATGTGCTGCCTTTACAATTCCCTTTTATGATACACTTAGCTAGCGCAAACAAACATTTTTAACATGAAAATACCGACCGGTGTTGCGACGCTAATCTAATAATGTAATATGTGTACAATAAGTATATATGTATGTAATATATAATGTATATAATGTGTATACGATAATCTTGTAATTTTTATTCTTAAAAGTATTCTTAAACGTAAACAGTTAAATCTGATCATTACTCAAAATATGATTAAATTTTTACTTTTCTTACTGACCTGCACAATTAATCTTAGAAGTAGATGTTGGGAATCCAGCACAGAAGAGATTTCCTTCAAACGCCTTTTTTGCTTACTTAATTCTTCTGTTATATAATCATCATTATTTTCGAGGACCATCTCTAAACCTGGATAAAGAAAGAATGAAGTTAGAATTTGTACAAGAGTCAGTTATATTTCAAATCCAAGTCCAAATATTATTTTTGAGGCACAGCTCTTGGAAAAAATTGGTTAAAATTCGTATTGAAATCGTTTTATTCTGTTTTCTGCTATTGTTACTTTTTATAAACTTTCCTCTTTTATTATTCACTTTTCTCTTTCGGTGTGTGGCTTTGACAATTTTTTATGAGGAACTCACTTCCATCTTTTATTATTTAAAATATAAAAAAAAACAATTTTTCAAGCATTATTGACTTTTCAACTTTGGGAATAATGTGGGAGGAAGATCTAGTTTTGTCTTACTTTCTTTAATTTTTTGTTAATGAGACCATGCTCTGCTTTGATATTCTCGGCAAAATTAAGCTGGGAAAGATTGAGCGCTGCATCAGAGATCGGACTGATGCTGCTAACGAGGAGCGCGGCCTGGCTGATGGAGCCTATGATAAGGTAATAGTTTCTTTCAGTTGTTTGCACTGTCTGCACTTGCTATTCTCGAATGTTTTGTCTATTTTGACTTAAACCGCTTTAGTCACTAGGTTGCTCTTAGGTGGCTAGGACCAACCCTTCGATCTAATTGTTAAAAAGCTTTATCTCGTCTCCAGCTTCAAATGAGAGAACCATCATCTTCTCCTTCGATTGTTCCTCGTATTGGTCGTGGAGTGGCTTGCTATACCCCTTAGTTCGGAATTCCTCTTATTTTGTCTATTGTTGAATCAGGATTTATTGATTCTCAGTCTATAGATTCCTTCCCTCCGTTCTTCAACACGCTTTGCATTCTTAAGAGTTTTTGAAGAACTGCCAGAGCTTGCTTCTCCGTTTCTTTTGCTGAGCTCGTGGCCTCCAGAAATGCCGAAGAGAAATAAAGCGTTCACGTCGCTGCATCGGCGGAGAGCAAGATGAGTCTTCATCATTCTTCTAGTTAATCGATCCAGTGTATCCTGATCTTCTTGTGACAAGTCTATTATTATGACAGTGTATCTGTTCTGGCCGGCTATTGGTTGCGGCTATTTAAGCCAATGGTAGTATCAGAAGTTCTCATTGATAATGAAGGTTGTTCTGTACATTAGGCTATTTTTTCCTTCAAAATCTATTTGAGTGACGATGTTGCTTTGTTGGCTGTAGGTATTAGGTCTTTCATATGCTACTGTGACACCATCTAAAATGCCGGTGGTTGACACCTTTCTTTTCATGCACCATTTAGGGTCTTATTTTGTCTCTCATCGTGAGTTCGCCTTGTATCAGCATGTTTTCTATTACTTCTGGTATATCATGACATTGCTCAGGTTCTCTCTCCTTGTTCGTCTTAATTTACTCCCTCAGATGGGGGTGTTGCATTCAGTTGTGCGCTGGAATTTCTCTGCCAGGACGGTAGTGAGAAGATTGTTTTGCACCATCTGTTAACAACTGTTAGCATCTGGTCTAACTCATTCCCAGATGCTAGTGAAGAGCTTGTGGATTTTTTGATCAAGTCAACTTCTTGAATTTCGTATGTCTCTGCGGTAACGCTATCCTCTCCTGCGTCCATATTTTTCTTATGTAATCGGATGATCATATTGTTGGCTGTATCATATTTGGAGGCTGGGAGCAGGGTTTGGTATGGGATTTTCAAAGTACACTCTATGTATATAGAATATATATTAGGATATGACATTATATATATAGAAGGATCACAATTTTCTTGAAAGTTTTCAGTTAGAATCAGAAAGCTAGCATAATTAGTACAAATAATTGAATATTTTCATGAATGAATATTTAAGATTCAAACATTTTTTAGTGTCATGATAATAGGAATAGACTCTGCAGGGGATCCATTTACGTGGCAATCTGAAGTAAAAGACACTCGTTCATCTTGAAGATTTGATAGAAAGATATATTTGAATTAGGATATTATTCAGAGACGAAGTACGGTCCACGAGGAGCGGAATAATTAATTCTAGAAACAGTCATTTAAAACTTTCTTCTAAATAACATGAAACACTTAAAGGGCGAATCGAAGTATGATTTTTCTTAAATGTTAGGACCGCACTTGCATGATGGAACGCTTACCGGTATTGTATCAATGATATTAGATCAAAGTAGTATCTATACTCCGATGTTCTTAATTCATGAATTGCCATCTCTTCTAGAAGATGTACTTCCCTCGCTCCCTTTTCTTGATGTACTCGTGCTTTCAGCACGATGTAGCGCCTTCACGTTTTAAAATGAAATATGCAAAACAATTCGTTTGAAAATGGCTAGCTCGCGAGGGTCCTCAAAACTGCCTAACATGGTCTCCGGACGTTATTCCATTACATTTTTATCTTTTTCTTAATGTACAGAATCTAATGTACGCACATGTTGATCGTCATGTTCAACGTTGCTCATGAAAACAAGTTTTTTGTGAATAAATATAATATATAACATGTCATAAAAGTTTCTCTTTTTTTACGCAAAATGATACAAGGCTGTCTAAATATAAGTCGCCTAACAATTTAGGTAGTAGTTCTAACGTCATCTTCCAATTCAGAGCCTATATTTCTATTTAATACTATTTAATATTTGTTTATCTTTCAAAATGATTTTTCAAATTTTTGGTAACGTTTTCGTGTTGATTACTAACATTTTGATCCACTAAGCTCATGAAAAATGTTATAAAACAATATTTTTAAACCTTAGTATTGTAAAGGAAATAATCTCCACAAAAGTTTTAATACTTTTATTAATAATTTTCCAAAGTCAACTTTTGGGAAACACTTTTCTCATCTTCAGTGGATCTCTAACAAAATGGAGAAATGAAACATTAACATAAGTTGAACATCAAACGGGGGGGTGTACAGTGAATTTAGTGGGAAAACAAATAATATCATATAAATACAAATAGAAAGTACTTACTGCTCAAGCAATTATTTCCTTTACAATACTATGGATTACAACAAGATATCTGCTACCACCATGGAATTTATTTTTAAACCTTGCATTTTGGAGAATAATGTACCTTTAGGTAATTGTCGTTTATTTGAAATAACAAGTCATCTCTTTTGTTGAACGAAATTATGTGGTAACACTCTTAGTAGAACTCTTTGATGAACATTGATTGCTTTTAGGCTTACCAGAAGTGTATTTTAAAATCTCATTTTCGACGAAGGAAGTACAGTCAAAAATATTACTTGTATTTATTAGTGTAATTAATCAACCAGAAGAAACCATACAAGATTGCAATGAAATAGAAGATTCCATGAATGTCCGTGCTATATATTGTTTGATATACTAGATCTGTTCCAACACATTCCGTTACACTGATTATCTATGATGTAAAACTTCTTAGGCAATCAGGTGCATTAATCAGACTTTCTGGAATATCTGTACGTCAATGCGAGTCAATATATACTAGCAAAATTCATCGAATGGTGTGCGGTAGTGGAATATCCATCAGAAAGCTTTGGTATTCAGAATTGAGAGGGTTGAATGTGGAGGGAGTTTGTGTTTTTGTAATGTAAATATTGAACTGAAAACGACTCTATCTTGTTAGCAGTAAATATAATGGAGACGTATCATGATTGAAGGTATTTGCAATTATATGGTTAAAAGGATTCACGAACTGAGTGAAGAATATGAAGAAATATAGCCGGATCCGTCTCATGAACGAGTATGTTTGTAAACTCCTCTTCTTGTATTATAAACATTTACTATTTTTTAGTAGAAAATAAGTCCAATTTGTTGCCTACATATCACAACCGTGTTTGTATTTTTGAATAGGAGAAAAAATATAATTGTTGTATATATACAGAGGAACTTAAATTGCTTTCGAACCCACAAATGGAACTTCTATATCCATCATTCATGCAATTTCTGCAAATCGAAATATAAAAATCTATATCATTTTGAAATAGATAAATGTTGCACTGACGATAAGATGATTCAGAGGCTTATGACACACGACCTTACGATGGAGTGCATTGTCCACATTAAAATGCCGAAATTGTGTTACTGAACGTTACTACTTGCATTTGGTACGTGTGTCACTGAAGACGGCAAGCCTACGATAATGCAGACAGAACAATGAAACATCGTCACAACGCCATACGCGCAGCTTCCGCCGTTTTCGCAAGGTCTTCGCTTTGGTACTCGTAGAACTTCACGCGCTGAGATGACTCGCGCTGAGCTGACTGCCTTCGGTCGTATGCAATAAAAGTTTTGGCCCCATGAGGTGGGGCATTGTTCTCCACTGGTGGGAATATGCTTATGAATTTGCAAGAATTGGATATCACACACGACTTATACCAAGACGCAGGCCCCCTTCAGGGCTATTTTGAATCCCTCTGTTCTTGAACAATTCATTTTAGGGGATCGAATAATTATAAATCATGTGACTATAATATAATATCTATATAATGTTTAAGGAAACAAATCAAATAAAATAGTATTATTAAAAGATTCAATAGATGTTTACCATCTTCTGAAAACGGATTACAGAACCATTTTCTCAGGACTGCATCCAAGAATCCTAGTTTTCCTTTGTTGTCATTAGGATACTCAATTAATTCCATCTTATCCACTTTGTCAAGCAGCATACGTGGCAGTTTTCTTTCCAATTCAGTATGAAGCACAACCTGTGGAAATCACGGTGAATATTAACTTTCAGTGAGTACATAAATACAGGACAGACATTGGTTCGAGAGACCTCTGTCTCTGTACATTCATACTTGTGGTTAAGACTATGTGTTTGACAAGTGCCGTAGCTAGACAATTTTGGGCCCCGCGCAATGCAGAAACGTAGCCCTTCCTACCCCGAAAAATTAGAATCGTGAGATTGAATCAAGAAACTATTAGTTATTTTATTTCAACAAATAACAAAAAATTAATATAGAAAAAGTTTTTGGCAATATATTTTAAATAATAGTTTTAAGTAAAAGTATGTAGTGATCAAATAATATTATTTCCACGGTGAGTTTAAAACGCTAAAAAGTTTGTTATGTTTTGTTAGTGTTTAATAAAATTACTCGTTGTTAAATAAATGAAATAATAAATATGAATTTCAGTAGAACCTATTCTAATTGATTCCTCACTGAAGATGTATTAATTTCCCCCCCTCCAAAAATAGTAGCGGTTATTCGTCAGCTGGGCAAACATGTAAGTTTGGTCAGTTTAGGTGTTTGTTTAAAACTAACCATTCCAACTAGAGCGTCACTGACCGCTAGATAGCACCACCGACAGTTTCTCTTTTCGCCAGGAGACTTTTGCGCGCTTAGCAGCTGCAGTTCATCGTCCGCCATAGAGTTCCTAAATACCAGTGGCGCCTCAAACATGTTACTTGGCATTAAGAAGTAATATGAATAAAATTCTTCAAATAAAACATCCTATAAATTAGATACGCGTCGACTAGCAATGAGGTTATAGAGAAAAATCTGTCAGTTCGATTTTCTCATGGCTACCGTCAACCTACATATGACTCTTGTCTGTCGCAATATGATTTTACTTTCAGCCTGACACAGCCCAAGACGCGTTCATCTGGTACAAAAAAAAGCCAGCAGATGGTAGTGCAAAGGAGGCGTTTCTACGCCCTTGCCATAAAGCTCTATTGAAAAACGTTTTTTCTTCTGGACGTAGGGGCGCTGAGAGTAATGGGCAAGTAACACTCCTGATCAGAAGAGGTCGAAAGCTCCTCCTCAGAGCGACTTCAATTTATTTCTATCGTTTTCACTTATACGTCGATTTTTTAACGTGGCGTTTCAAGATCACGCACGAAAAAGGGTGATGGAAGGCAGACTCCAATAGGGAGCTGTAAAAGTGGGAGATGTAGTGACGTTGAGGCGCCACGTTAAAAAAATCGAAGTATAAAGGCGCACATGTTTTATACTCTAACAAAATCAATTTCCACATAGCTATCAACTTATAAATTGTACATTTTCCTCAAAAAAGCAAATAACACTCATGAAAACAAATATTTCTTTTGGGAATTAGGTCCAAATGCAGAAAATATGTGAGGAGGAAATTCCTCTCTTCCCTGAAATACCATCACTGCTAGATACATTCCCCACTTATTTAGGAATCTGCCTCCGCCCGATTAGCAACGGCAATGTGATGGAGAGGGGTGGGGGTGGGGGCAAAGAGAAGTGCGACCATCCTGGAGCACCGGCGAGGGAAAAGAGGGAGTTGTGAGTGATCTTCGATGTATCTGGGCCCTCTTCAACTCGCAAGCAGTAATAACAGTTTTTTTAAATGTCCCACAGGCAGGAGAGTAGCGTAAAAACATTAGTCTCTCCAACTAGTGGTCGTTATGAACAAAATGCAACATTTTCTGTGCAATAATTCAAGTAGAAGTGTGCAAATAGGTTTCTTTGTTGGTTTTCTTTGTATTTTCTTCGCTTCGCCACTCTTAAAGATACATTGTTAACTGCAGCCCGTGCAGTATTTTAAATGCTTTCAACAATCGCCGGTGAAGCTCAATGTAAATAATTGAAGTGTCGACTGGAACAACGTTGTAAGCGACGCATTTTTCAGATATTGTTTTCAGTGGAACAATGTTGTATATGAATCTGTTCTCCCATTGACATTTTATTAAATGGATAAGTTTATTTTGGCGTGAAAAATTGGCTTCACACGTTGGCTAACGTGGAACAACTTAGTAAGTGCTGCCAAGAAGGCGCAAAACAAGCGTACACGTATTTCACCGTCCGCTGTAAAAGGCAGTAATAAGAGCAAGAAAAGATTAAGGAATGTTCAAAAGTGGAAGTGTAATGTAGAGATTCCGTTGAAAAGTATATAAGCTCTAGGAATGTGAGGAAACTAGTATTGGAGCGTCCAAACGAGGTGGGTGAAACAACATTATATCCGTCTAAGTTTATTCATGCTGTGTTATAGTTTTCACTGACGATAATGGCATAAATTTAATTAAACTGGACGTATAAATTTCAGAATGTGTCCTGTAAATGCAGAGTAGAATGCAATGCCGAAAAATATTGTAGCCTTAAAGGGGAGCTCTTTGAGAAGTTCCCTGCACTGGTACGTTAAAGAGCTCGGGCAAGACCCTATTAGCCTACTTTCTTTCGTTGAAAGTATTTTCAGGCAACGTACTCCATTATCCATGTTCACCGACGAAATAGCTTTTGCGAGGGCTTTATATTGCCTATAAATTCCTATATTAGAGGTAATTGCCCATTCAAGCGTTAAGACTATTACTGCTTATTTCGATTTCCCCGCACTTTTATATATTTTTGTTCTTATTATTTCATTTAATTTGTTTTGAGAAATTGTTGGGAATATTTTACCAAACAAGTAACAAACCCATAAAATGTATCAGGGTGTCCTCCGATCGAGAAGCTCTGTGTTCTTGATAGTTATGCGGCGAGCAGAGACACCGCTTAGAATGTATGTGAATTTGACACCGTGCAGAATACGCTTATCTATTTCGCCGAAGCCCATTGGGGCGCTTTGGTACAATTCCAAATGCACCAGTTTATTGTCAACCAACAGCAGCACAATGAATTCCGACTCGAAACTACAGAAAATCACATCACGCATCTCTCCACATTGTTTTACTAAAGCTTTCCTCAAATCACCACAATACCCCCCGTCCGGTTAGGCAGAAATCCCAATCATGTTATCTGTATTAAACATAATTTCCCTTCTATACCATTCTTACAAAGTTTTCCGAAATGTAACACCGCTGAGGTCTCCCAATAAAGGATTCCTCCCCAAAAATGTGCTTTTTAGAATTGCGTTATTAGCATTACGATTATATTAAGCCAACAATACAAATGTAGAGCGTGAACTGAACTTTGTAAATCCTGAAAATGTTTATAATAGAAAAAGGAGCTCCAGATAATGGGAAATTGCTCTCGTCTTTCCGATATCCGTTATCATTAGTGAGTTAATATCTGTTCCTTAGTAAGAAAACAGCTGTCTTGAAGATTAGCGCCATCGGCGTCTTTCGCTTTTAGAATTAAATTTACTCATTAGCGAAGTTTTCTTCGATCATAATTTTGTATTGGTTTCGAAGTCTGATTCATGGCACATCTGCTGGCATGGCGTTTGCTGTTCCTGTTAAACACTCTTGCTACAATTCGAAATGTATCAAGTAGTGTACTGCTGTGGTCGGTCCCTAATAAGCTACAATGTCCTAATGAGGATAGGAAAAGTCCACTACACTAGGCCAATTTTCGAAGCGGAAATAGTTTTGGTTATTCTAAAAAAGAAAAAAATATACAGGTGTAGCACGAGCAAATGCTAGTTCGTTCCTTAATGAATCTAGCGTCACATTTCAAACATGACATTTAGCCCATGCTGGGACAGAGTTATAAACATTTTGAAGATGATTGAATGGTTGATGTTTCCAGGCACGTCAACTACTACGGTCCAGTGAGTTTAGTCCAGTGAGTCTCGTCCAGTGAGTCTCGTCCATTGAGTCTAGTGAATGTCTTATTGGTGGTGACTGTTTCTCCTCCACTGGATAGTTTTCCTCCTCCAATTACACGTCGGCTTGCACGTGATTTCCGCCTCATGGTATCTCCCGCAGCTGGACTCGTCGTCAGTCCGACTTATTTTAAATAAAAGTTTCCTCCCTCAATACATAAACAAAATCCATCTATCCATGCAACATAAATAACTCATAGCAATTAATTTGTTTTAGATGTTTATTTTAATACGTTTTAAATGAAGAGATTTCGGACCTCGAATTAAATCGGGCCACGAGACAAGTTGTCGCAGCTACCCCGCTTTTTGTACGCCGTCGCTGTCAACATCGCAATGCTCTCATTCATATTTATGTAGAATTTGTGTAGTTCTCTGGCTGAGCAAATATGAGATGAGTAGAAAGAATTTTCGGCAAATTTAGTTTCCCCTGCATAAGGTGGCACACCAAGGATTTTCTGCTTTTGACAAGGTTTGAATCTGTTATCTCGAGTTTTGGAAACCAATGTGGTTACCTCATAACACTATGGTCGTCTGGTCAGGTACTGGACGTGACAAGAAGCTAATTGACATACAGGGTAGTGTAGGCAAGGTCAGATTTAGGAACTGGTGGGCTTCCTTTGGGAAAAAAATCGTCCATACGAAAAAAACCACTAACTATAATGGAATAACATTTTGACAAATAGAAATGAAAATTAATAAAATCGTTTATAGGATCGAACATTTTTATTTTTATTTAAATAAATTTTTAATTAATATTTGATATATTATTGAATATTTTGCATCATTTTGTCCGGGATGCGGGGAAATCGTGGATGGGGCCCTATGAAACAGCTAATTTTGCTTGTAGATAATTCCGGCCCTGCGTGAAGGGGCGCGCAGTAACGCAGCTTCTGCAGCGGAAACACCTTCAGGTCGCTTTAGTTTACCTCTCCATTCACTTCAGTTCCCATTAGGTCACAAATTGAACGTTTTCCTACAACGACGTGTCAAGGTGTTGAAATGTAGAAATGTTGATGACTCGGGAAAATAATAAGACAATTTAATAAATCGACGTAACATTGACGGAGATGATTACATTGTTTCTCTCGAAATGACTGAAGATATCATTGATGAACATTTTAAAAATTCTAAGAACGTCCTATTTTTATTAGTTAGAGTTAATGCGAATTTTACTACTTACCTGCATAGCCAAGCGTTTAAGCTGAGCATTCCTCCTTACTGATTCAATGTCTCCTACTGCCAAACCAATGAGCAGATTCATGAGCAGAATAGGCATCAGTACCATGAACAACCCTAAAATTATGAAGGCTGGAAGTGGGAAGGGTAGAAATGGTAATGCCTTTCCGTCCACTTCTGTCCACTCACGATAGAAGGGGTGAACGTAAGTATTCAAGAAATCTATTTCTCCTAACATCATGGAAAATGTTCTCAACAGTGACATGGGCACATTCTTGAAGGATAAGTGATTCCCCTGCAAGAAAAGAAAACAAGAACTTGTAGATATGCCTAAAAAAGTGAATTAATATAGTTAAACATTTGAAATACTTGATTTACTTTCTCAAAGTACTAATACTATGCATTTACTATCAATGCCTAAAACATTCTGACTTGTGGTAATTCTGAATTATATGTAGCAATATTTATATTTTTTGTCGATAAAAGATGTTGAAGATCGCGAAAGATGGTTTTTAAGGCAGGGAAAATACTTATTATCTCGCCACCGCCCTCATCGCCATTTCCACCTCCCCACCTCCGCCCGCGACCTCACCACGCTTCGCTTCCCGCCCTGCCCACCGCATTCGCCATCACCTCCCGCCCCTCGTACCATTTCTCCACCTCTACCTCCGCCCTTCCATCGCCCCCACCACCGTCCTCATCTCTACGCCTCCCTCCACCCCCGCCCCCTCTAAACCTCGCCCTCGCTCGCCTTCGCCCTCGCTTGCTTTCGCCCTCGCTTGCTTTCGCCCTAGCTTTCGGCCAGCGCAAATTTAGTGATATATATTATATCCGCCCGTCCGCCTGCCCACCCGCCCGTCCGTCCGTCTGCCCGTCTCTCCGTCCGTCCGTATGCATGTCCGTCCGTCCGTCTGCTGTCCGTCCGTCTGCTGTCCGTCCGTCTACTGTCCGGCCGGCCGTCTGCCTGCCCGTCCGGCCGTCTGCCTGCCCGCCCGCCCGGCCGTCCGCCTGTTTGTTCGTCTGCCTGTTTGTTCGTCTGCCTGCCTGTCTGCCTGCTGTTTGTTATTCTGTTAATCTATCCATCCGTCTGTGAATAACACTAGCGTCTATTCCCTTTACAGAACTTTCACTTAAATGGATATTCCCCATTCGATTTGGGTGCTGTGGCCCCTTGAGTTTAAAACGAATCTTTTAATATTTCGGGGTAACTGTACATGAAACCCCACAACACTTTCAAATTATTCTGAAAAATAATTAAAAATTTTTCTTAAATATATAGCTTGATTAAATTTTGCTTTTAAAACCTGCGCAGGTCCTACTTTTAGTAAAAATCTGAAATTTCCAAAACTGCAACAATTGTACATTTTTGGACTTCATCTTACAGCTACACATTTGAATATAGAGACCTTTTAATAATAAACTGTGTTCTTCAGAATTAAATTTTTAGATAATAACCTATTCAATAATTTGCAAATAGGAGATGTTTTCAAATACCTAACTTTGAGTAAAATTTTGACAATTAGAAAAGACGTAATCATGATTTCCTCAAGAACGGGTTGTATGTTTTTGCTTAAGTATAGAAATTTCGCTTAATGATATGACAGATTTTCATTAAAATCTCTGAAATTTAGAAAATCGGAAAATATAACTATTTTTTTATGTGTTGGAGCGTTAGATCCTTAATCATTACTGGTTGTAAGGGAATTGATCGCGAAGTCAATGCGCTTCAGTTCGAACTGCTGTCCGAGTTAATGTTTTTTGCGAATTGAAAATACATTAAATCCTGATTGGCTCGTTGGTTAGCGAGCTCATTTTTCCACGGCGCATCGAAGAGTTCGATTCCCGGCCGGGGCAAAATTATAACTGTGCGCTTTCCTTGTCCTAGTCCTAGTATATATTCGTGTCTGACGATGAGACAACCCACCGTAATGGTTCGAAGACCAGTATATATGGTGGAGGGATGTCTTCGTGCTAACCACACGAACTCCTATTATATCCCTTGATAAATGCTCATCAATGAACATTAGAAGGAAACGATATCATTTTTAGTCTTCACCAAATAAAATCAAGATAACCCTCAATCGAAATCAATTTAGGATACCTTACCTGGCATTGTAATTTTATAGACAAATGTCATTCCAATGGTGCTAACCAGTGATTTTATAGTGACTCGGTCGGTTTTTAATTATTTATTGCTTATGAGGACGTCCTATCCGAATTGTGTGTGGGGTAGAATATCCTTAAACCATAAGTAATAATGTGCACAAAATTTTCTATCTTCCCCCAGTTGTTCAAACTTTACTTTACAATCACATGGATGCAGAACATTATGTTATAAATAAGCAATGTTTCAAATAACACAAGAAAATAAGTACTATTTTGCACCACTAGTTTCACTTGGCTCAAAGTACTACTGCAGAGACAATGTAATCCACGTTTATGATATGCAAATATATTTTTCGTTTTCTAATGTCGTTGTATTGGAAGTAAATATTCATATTTACCTGGGAGAGAAGAATATAAAATGCCAGTCCAAATGCTATGAATAATATAGAAAACACAAACAGTACTTTTATGAGCGTTTGTAGAATTTCAAGAAACATGACGACATATATTCCCACTTGATCGAACCTGAAATAGAAAAAAATGTGAAGATTGTTAGTTTTATTACTTAAGCAAACTTACATAAACAATAATACATTATAGTTTGTAAAAAAACAATATATGAAACAATATTCAGTTTCTGAAATTTGCACAACACTAGAGCCTGTTCCTGCTGAAAGAATGAAGAGGAGTTCATCGGGGGAATCCATTTTTTCGCTGAAGCTGTGTTTCAATTAGTTCCTTTCCTCGGCAAACTAATGTCTTTCATCTCATGTTGGAGTACCTATAGTGGCCATAGTTAAGATCATTTTCATAGTTTTCTTAAAATTTCTGAGCTACAGTACAAAATTCATTATGTGAAACTGAATAGGCGAATAGCAAACCTTTTCTCAGTAGATCGCTAGGCTAAAAATGGTTTAGATTCAAAATAAAAATGCAGCGAAATTGTCATGTTTCATATTTTCAAGATACTGGAATAGGCAACAGATGAGTTATTAGATACGTCCAAATAGTTAAGTTTTTACAGTTAGTCTCACAAAAAAATGTTAGACGTCGTAAATTATTTCTGTACATCAGAACTCGAAGAAAAGCGTAGAGATATCTTATTAAATTGGTTCCCCATATTTACAGAATGTCTAGGACCTGCAGTCACAAACAAAACCGTTCATATTGTTCAAGCGCAGTGTATTATTTCGCGAGGGATATGCATTTGAATGTTTCGGTTAACTGATGATCTGAGAAATAAAAATACAGCTCAATTCAGATTTTCGTGACTCACAGACTCTGAGTCTGTTTGCTGACAGACCATTGGTGGCCTGCCCACTCAGCTGTCAGAGGAGGCTCTCGACTCAACGTTTTACTCGTTTAAGTCTTTCTTCTGTTGTAGTCTGATGCGTGTGAGTCACTTTCACATAAAGTATCTTGTGCTCCTGAAAGTACTTGCCTAAGAGGTTAGAGCATATTCTAAGCTCCTTGGTGATTTCAAATGACAGATTCGCCGCTCACATAAAAGAACTACTGGTGCTAAAAGGAAAGGTGGTCCTACTGGTGATAAAGGTCAAGCCCGGAAACAATTGATTTTGATACTGGTGCTAAAACTTACATAATTCTCAAATCTGTCGGGAAGAGCCTATGCGGACTCGAAAATTATTGTGCGACAATGTAATTGAAGATTTGGTATGAAGAAATTAACCAACTTTCGAGGTCAAGAAATGATTTCAAAACTTTGTATAATAGGTTCGTATTTTTTTACATGAAGAGGTGCATTAATATTCTAACATTTTACACCAATGAAGTTAATCCTAATTCAGAGCCCATTTACTTAATAAATAAATAAAATGGGGTTATCCAGATCTCTGCTTCAATCAAAATTTTAATTTTGTTTGAAAAAAAAATGAACGTAAACATTATGAGCCTGAATATTTTTACTGAAAATCATTTGAAACATACTGCACTGAAAATTACTTTCAAATTAGTTGAAACAACAGTCTTCCACTCAAGTAGAGTTTCCTTAATCATATTATATTTTATTACGCTTGTTTTAAGAGATAGACAAGAGTAGTATACACACATCCAAAGAAAGAACTTCACTGCGTGAATATAAAACTAAATATATTATACTACTTTTTATCAAAATAGTATTTTCTGCAATTAATCAGACTCAACAGCCTACCCTCAATGGCAGGGGACGGCTGATTATCTTGTAACTTAAACAAATTTTGAAAAATGCAATATTTTAAATTTAATTTCTTAAAAAAAAGTAATATTAATTTTAACAATGACATTTGCTGTATTATATATCATTTAGATTGAATAATTGTAAAGAAATTGTAGCAAGCATTGTACTTCAGCTTCTGGGTTAATGACCCCCATCTCGATCAGGTTTTCGTTCAGTTTCCCTGATTCTCGAGCAAATGCTGAGATGTCTCCTTGTTTTGCCTCTGGACATAAATTTAACTTCAAATTAACTTTTTCCCATAGCACATCACACAGTTTTTAACTGCTTTTGACGTAAATAAATAAATAAATAAAAATAAATAAATAAATAAATATAAATAAATACATAAAAATAAATAAATAAAAATAAATAAATATAAATAAATCTTCATTGTTTGAATTTTGTATAATTTTACATTAAACCTGTTATTGGGACACGGGTTAAAACAGTATAAAGGGGGTTAAAATTCCCTAGAGCTTAATTACATTTTGAATAGAGAGCATGTTTAGTTTTATTTTGAAAGTAATTTTCCCAAAATGTCAGACACAACAGTCTGATTAATTTGTAGATATCAGAAAAATATGAATTTTCGGTTTGTGATTTGATAACACATTTGACTGGCCACCATGGACTCCTTCAACTAGCCAGCAAACTTTAGTTAGAAGGCGTAATTCATTCGATTAATCGAAATTCTACATTCTGAATTAATAATAATAAAATTAATTAAATTGGATTTGAGTTAAAATCATTTCAAATAGTTCTTAATTTTTTCACATCAAAACAGGTTACAAAAACATGTTAAAATAATTTTTTCTATTTTTTTATTATTGAAAATTTGAATTTGGCACCAAAAGTAATTGCAATATTTTTATATATTAAAATGATATGATTTTCGTCCTGAAAAGTATTTTCCCGTAGAAACGTTATTAACATATTATGAGTTATAAGTGTATAAATGACAAAAAAAAGAATTATATTTTTTTTAATATGACGCACCAATAAGAACAATTTAAAAAACCTTAATTCTGATGTATTATAATGAAAAGTACCATAGTATTTGTTTAATGTATTTGTTTGTAACCTCCGAAATAAATTAGAAAAATACCAAATAATTTAATATTTTTCAAAAATTGAATTTCCATCCAAATGTTTTTGAAAAAGCTCTCCAAAACATGTATAGACGTCAACTACGTCTCATACTTTTTTCAGAATTTGATCTTGAAGCCATGACATGAAAAAATCAAAAAACTAAAATTCGTTATTTTTCCGTTTATTGTATATTTCATCTACAAAATAATCAGACTGTTTTGTCTGCAGTTTTGCAAAAATGACTTTCAAAATAACACTAATCATGACCTCTATTCTTAATTGAATTAAGCTCGAGGGCATTATTACTCCCTTTTCATGCTACAGCCTTTGTCCTCGAAATGTCGTGATTTTGCAAACTTGCAAACTTTCTCGTAATTTTGTAGAGATTGTAAACTGTAATATATGCAGTATATGATTCCTAAATCAATTTGTCGATAAATGGCCAAAGAAGTTTTATATCATAGACATATAGTATTATTATATGTCTATGGTTTATATTAAAAGAAGTGATTCCGTTTGGATAAGAATACAAACGAAATAACGTATATTGTTTTTGCAATTATGAAATACAGAGTACGTTAAATACGAGTTTGTGATGATTAAGTTACACATGAAATTAACGCCAAAAACATTTAACATCTGGTATGCCCCTATTATGGCGATGTAAACAATGATACTTTGTCTATCGATTTTTATCACCTTTCTCTAGAAATGTATCCGAAATTATCAATACATTCGTAGTATTACCCATGATAAATATTTGTATTTAACATAAAACGTTTTTACATATTCGAAAAATGTGATTCACACTTACCTTTGTAAGTACAGAAGAAGATTGAACCAGCTGAGGAAAACTGTCAGAGAAGCACTGGACAATTGCATATTTCCAAAGGTTTCGGAGTACATTGGTGTCACCATAATGGTAGATGAAACATATAACAACCAGGACACGAGGTTGCTAGGATCAAGCAAATACCGCCATCTTTGTTGATACAACTGTATTAACTCTCTTAAAGTATTGAGGCCTATATATGTCAGTATTGCTACAGCACTCATGTACAACATGGATGTTGCGATGTTTGATTGTTGATGGACTAGTCTCTGAAACATAAGTATGAACATATATGGGTGCTGGGATGTGAAATATTTTCCAAAATGTTTACACGTGTTTATACATTTAACACCGATTTTTAAATGAGTTTGCAGTATATACCATTAAATTCGTAATTTAAAAAATATTAAAGAAAAATATAAAACATTACTATAAAATTTTCTTTGCGCATTATAAAACGCAATTTAATCAGAATGTTAGTATTTTAACAATTCTTTACCGAATTGGTATTTGATTATTACTCCAAGAAAACGGAATATTGTGTCACTGTATCCCTTATTTAAATTAAAATGGGCAGTCAAGTTACATCAAAATTTTTTTGTAGTGTTACAAATTAGTTTCATGCATACGAGGCAAAGAAAATACATTTTCCAAATCGCAACATCAAACTGTGGTAGCGGCATTTATTCCATTAGCCTGTAGTATTCACTCATTATCACTTTCTGTTTTCTATGTATTCTTGTTTTAATAACCAATGGATTTAAATTTCTGATTTTAGATGAGATTGAAATATAATATAATTTCTTTTTCCTCAATGTATTCGTATATCCCCTCACATTCCAAGAGAAAGAATCAAAACGAAAGATTATCGAAGTGATTAATATACGTGGCGAAGATAGATGTAACGTAGAAGAGGACAAGCTCGGAAACCCCACAACACCCACACACGTCGGCAAAGCCAGAGACGATATCACCGGAGCACAGGCGAACACCGGCGCGAACTTCTAGCTCACGAAAAACGCGGAAGGGTTCGTCGTGACGTCAGGCTACCTATTAAAGCGGCTGGTGCCGGGCATGGCCAAGAGGCAAGACGAAAGAAGATTGGGCGTGGATCTGGTGACAGGAGAGGGAAGACGGCGTTTCGAGCGATATCGGGGACTGTTGGTCTGCGAGGGAGGGACGCAACGGCGCGGCCGGAATAGGGGCTAGGTCACACAACAGCGACGCCGAACGGTTTGCAATCTGCTCGTTGTGCTCCTGACAAAGGTAACAAACATTTTGTAAAGGGATTGAGAGCCGATAGAGACTTGAACGATAGTGCCGCAGCAAAGAGGATGTGATTGTAAATTTGCATGTTCACGTAAGATCTAGATAACGGCAAAGCAATTGAAAGAACTTTCTACTCCGGTAATAGAGTTCATTGTAGTGTTAAATGCCACGAGAAAAGCTTTGTTAATATTTGTTCCTCGTTTCTGTAACCTTGACGAGGTTACTAGCTGTAAATATATTGCTGCACATATCAGCCAAGGAAGTTAATATATTCTTGTTTAAACGGTGCTGGCCAAGCAATAGTTTCTGTGTACGGGTAATTTGTTGGAAAAAGAGTTTTGAATTAGGTGGAAATACTCGAATCAGAGTGAGCCAACGATATCAATTTTCAAAGGGTGAGTACAGTAATTTGATTTCGTGTGAAATAATTAAATAATTCAAAATACAATTTAGAATATCTAGAATAAAAAATATGTTTTTTGAAGACAGAATTCGTTTATTTTGAAATAAATGCTTTTGAATTTCTCTTTTCAGAGTTGCAGAGAAGTTAATTGATAATGCGTGTTAGAACGTATAATGAAAATATGTTTTCTGAAGAAAGTATATTACGTAGAATAGTAATACACTAGTAGAAGAAGTATATAGAACGTGTATTTTGAATTATTTTCTCTGCAATATTTGAATTATTTATTCAATACCTACGACAAATAAAAACATAGCCAAAATTAAGGATATTACTCATAATATGTACTTTTTATATTACTATTTATTTCTGCTGCAATATTTTTACTTACTTTACTAGTAAGTGATCCAATTGTTGTATTTAGTGGATACATTTTTAACTCATCATTATATATTTGCATGAGTTGTGCTGAGAAAAATGTGACAAATGCTAAGAATATGCTGTATAAAAGAAGATTGGCCAGATGAAAATACTTTCCATAAGAATTCCACTTCATTTGTAAATACTTTTGACTCAAAGGATGAGCCAGTAATTCCACTCGTCCATGTGCAACCATTGCCTGGAAAATTGTCCATATTTTATACAGGCATGACATGTACATAGTATAACAACAGCCATGTCAATATTAAAGGTCTGTAAGCATATTATACAATACAAATTACTACATTGAATATGGCTTCAACTGAATCGCTTTACAAAAGAAAGAATATTCATCAAGCAACGATATTTCCGATATTTGGTTTCATTTTGCCTTCTCCTTTTTCATCAAAATATATTAAACCTACATTATTATACATTTACTATAATAATATTTTTTTCATGTTATGGCTTATTACTGCTTCATGTTTAGTTAAAAAAAATGTGGCCGTTCACAGAGGTGTTGAATGTGACTGCTGGTGGCGGAACTGGGGCTTTTGGGGCCAGAGAACGCTCATGGCGATCCCCCTACCGCCCGCCCCTCTTTTCACGATTCCTCATTTCTGTGGCTCTCTCCGTCAGAAGGAGTCGCGTCAGAATCAACATTTTTAAAAGATGTTTTGGAGATTGTCCTACTTCGAGCAGTTGCCTAAAATGAGTTCACAATTTTGTTAGTCTGTGTTATTCAACAGGTTATCCTTATTCTACTAGTCTATAAACGGTAATACCACTCACAAGAAGATGAAGAGAAACCAACTGCCAACGGAATATTGAACAAGTCAATGACCGTAGCTGTAAATGTCATTATTTCAGTGACTATTGCTTACAGATACCGTTACAAAAATGTATACCCGCCAGGTTTCGTAATTCGGACATTAAATCTACGAACGAAACCAAAAAAAGAAAGATGTTGGCCTGTCTGCCAGTGGCACATTCGATCGCTGGGGACCACCAAACATTGCGAAGTAGATTTTGTATGATGGCGCGACTGAAACTTGAGGTGCATACTGCATAAATTACAATAAAACAACTTCATCTTTACAACTAAAATAACTTTGTTTTTTTAGTACGGGAAGCCCGGGAAACCTGTTCAGAGGCACATTGTAAGTCAGTCTGGGAAGGTGGTATCAAAAACAGTGAAAACAAAATATTTTTAAGAGCTATCGTTTAGTGGCAGATCATTGACAAATTAAAATTAATGATAAAGTTTTTTTTAAACAAAAAACTTGTCTGGCACTCGCCGGAGGGCACATCGGAACGTCAGAAAATCAGGACACGTCTCCATGAGAATAAGCTCCTACCCTCCAGTTCTCGTCTCTCATTTTTCTCTTTCGCTCACCGATCTCGCGAGTTCGTGAGTCAAGCATCGATTTGGCTGAACTGCACTGCTGTAGGCTTCTCTCTGCGGGGCCTGTATTTGTATCCCTGCGGCTGGCGGATAGCTCCCCACGGTTCCTGGGGAGTAAAGGCGGCTCCACACATTCGGTCGATTTATTAGTGATTTCGCATGTGTCAACTGCTAATTCCCGGAAGTGTAGTGCATTTTTTGTTCGAGTGGCGGCAGTGGTCTTCCCCCCCTGGATTGCCAGATCCGGCGCCGACCTACCGCCCGCTAGCGGGGTTTTCCCTAACCAGACATATTTCACCAGCGGGGCACCGCCTCAGCTGGGGCAAGTCCTCAGCCTCCAACCAGACTCCCGCCATGTGTGGAAGTGTAGTGCACGTTAGTGTAAATGTGTGTAAGGGGTGATGATAGCACAAGGAGGTGGTAGGAAAGATCGCGAGCGGTCCATTTCCCGTTTGGTGGGATGCTGCTTCGGCATTCACTACGGACAACTACCAATCAGAGCAGCCGGCCGCTAGAATTCTCAAGTAAGCGACTGAACTCGACCTAGCTGAGAAGAAAAAGTGTGGGCAGGTTGCTTGACGCTTGCCGAGCGCCAAACGTTCGGTGTTTACCCTACCCTCAAACGGTCGGTCTTTTAGACGCATCAAAGGAAGCGAACATTCGCCAAGCCCACGGAGAAAGAGAATAGGGGTGGCCTTTTTCTCGGATTTTGTGAAACCAATTTGAGAATAGTTCCTCGCTTCTCCGTGCAGTGTGCTGGACTCGACTTTTGTATTTACGATGGCGTCCTGCGCATATAATTAGTTTTTAATTTTTTTCACTTACATTTTTAAAGGTTTTTACTAATTTGATATTAAAAATATTTATTTATTACTTTTCAATAGAGATTGCCCTTAGGTATTAAGAAAACTCTACATTTACAATAAATATCAACCTTTTAATTCTTTGACCTAGGGAGTACATGACCTTGACGGTGGTGGAGCTTGAGTACTGCCGTGATCCGGAGAGCTATGTTGGCAGTAGCGTAGGGCATTAGGGCCTCCCTTGCCGGACTGGTCAAAGGAGAGGGGTCAGACGAAGAAGTATTCCAGAAGAGGGCGGGGGCGCAAGACGAGAACATCCGGTTCAGTGCGCCGAAGAGGATCTCGAAACGACTAAGAGTTAGGCAGAAATTTTAGCCTACATTTTTACCGAGGGATGAAGGGTACGGTTATGATCTCGCCAACGGAACAAAATGATTCCAAAAGAGATCTGGGCAGGAGGAGCTCAAAAGCTCGATGAAGCCATTCTCCTAGGGGAGTAAACCCTAAAAAAATCCTGATCCTCCTAGTAGGGAGAAATGGGAAAATCTGAGTGCTCATAAGTCATTGGATAACATGGAGAAAAGGTGGAAAATTCAAATGGAAAAATGTTGATTCAACTATGTGAACAGCATGAACGTATAATTAGAAACGGCCACTTCCAGAATAAACTTATGTTCTGGAAGTGGGACAGGATAAGCATATGTTCACTTCGGAAGATAAGGTAAGAGGAAGGAGATCAGTGATCGACTACGTAATCACTAGACAGTATTTAAAGGGTAAAGTAATAGATGTCAGGGCACACAGAGGCCCAGAATGCAGATCCAACCATTACCTAATGAAGGCCAAAATTATGTTTCCACACATAAAACAAAAAGAAACGGAGATCAGAAAACGAAAGGAAGACAAAAATGAAAATAGCGAAGGTAGGAAATATAATGTAGCGGGTCTATCACAACCAAGTATAAGATATTTATTTCAAAACAGATTGGATAATTTACTGAATGAAAACTTGGTTGGATCAAATGAGGAGACATGTGAACACCTCAAAAATTGTCTACATCAAGCGGCTAAAGAAGCGTTTGGTGAAATACCTTTAAATAAGAAAAGGAGAGGGAAGAGCTATTGGATTACTCAAGACCTGGAGCGGGAAATAGAGGAGAAGAAGAGACTGTATGAAAAATGTTTGAGTACCAAGAAAGAAGGAAATAGAGAAGAATATAAAATCCAACGAAATAGAGTTAGAAACATCATAAGAAAAGAAAAACAACAATCATGGGAGCGTAAATGTCAAGAAGTCGAAATGTACATAGGTGGAACAAAAACTAGTGAGATTTGGTAGTTTATAAAAGAGGTAAAATCTCCCCAAATGGGAAAAAGTCCGCATACAAAGTATATCTGTAAGCACATGGGAAGAGTACTTTAGGAAATTATTAAATGAAGGAAGATCACACTTTCTTGAAACTACAGAAAGGGAAAAGATATCTCCGGCAAGGGAAATTACAGTATCCGAAGAGAGAGTTAAGAGATGTATTAAAGAATTGAAAGGTGGTAAAGCTCCGGGTCCAGGAGAAATCCCAAGCAAACTGATAAAGAAAGGAACACCAAAGCTAGTGGAAATGATGACGAAGTTAATGGGTATGTGTATAAATAAAGGCCAAATACCCGAAGACTGGAAAATGGCTTATATAACACCAATATATAAGAAAGGAAGGAAATACATATGTGACAATTATAGAGGGATAGCAGTTACAAACACGTTCAGTAAGATATATGGAAGAATATTAAGAGAATTAACAGAAGATGGATACAAGGACTACAAGAATAACAAAGTGGTTGTAGGGCGGGTCGATCTTGCTTAGATAACCTGTTTTGTCTATCCCAGGTGATGCAAAAGAAATGGCAAACATGGAGAGAAGTTCACATGGTCTTCCTTGATATAGCAAAGGCGTAAGATAGTGTGCTAGTAATAAAGTTATGGTAAGTAATGAATAAAAGTAATGTAAATAAAATCTAAATAAATTCGGTGAAGAAATTGTACAAGATCAAAAGGGAAAAGTGAGAGTTGGAAAACAAATGACCCAAACATTTCCTATATCAAAAGGACTACGGCAAGGATGCTGTATGTCACCTTCTCTCTTTAAAATGTATGTTAATGCGGTGTTACAGGTATGGAAACGAAAATATGCTGGGATGGGAATACCACTTGATGATAATTCAACACTCTATACCCTAAAGTTTGCTGATGATCAGGTGCTGATGGCGCAAGAACAAGAAGAAATTGAATATATGACTAGGAAGATAAAAAAAGATTATGAGAAATGGGGTCTAAGCCTCAACCTAGAAAAAAACAGTATACTGGACTCTAGGCAGTACACATGACGTATTGACTTTGGAAACTGGAGAAATAATAAGAACAACAGAGGACATAAAGTACTTGGGAACAACAATAGGAAAACAGGGTTTTTATGGAAAGGAAACCCGAACTCATTAAAGCAAGAAAAATTTCAGGAGTCCTGGATTCTATTATCTGGGATCCAAATACAAGCAAGAAAACGAGAATTATAATATATAAATGTATGATTGAAAGTGTTACATTGTATGAAGGAGGAATATGGCAGCTTCCAGAACATCAGAAAAGAAAATTGAGAGCTTTGGAAATGGATTTCCTCAGAAGAGCTGCAGCAATACCTAGAAGGGAAAGAATAAGGAATGAACAGTTTAAGAAAATATTGAATCTGCAACATGATATTTTAGAGGAAATTGAAAAGAAACAACTCACTTGGTTTGGACATGTACAGCGAATGGACGAAAGAAGACTCCCCAGAAGATCCTTAGAATGGCAACCAAGTGAAAGGAGAAAACGTGACAGACCACGACCAGGAGGAAACGACCAGATCAAAAAGATAATCGAGAAGTGGAAATGACCTCCTGATTCTTGGAAGAACAGGGAAGACTGGAGAAGAAGATTAGGCCCCGGAAGACCGAAGTAGC